CCCGAAACCAAGCATGCAGAATCGGAGTGCTTTGTTCTTCATCCAGACAAAAGGAACATTAGCAGAAAAAGTGCCAGCCCAACACATGTTCAACTCGATCTCACTATTCAGCTCGTCAGAACGTGATCACGTTTTCATAATAACTGGCTCAGGCGAAGAGGATCTAGGCATGGTCGCGACGAGAAGAGGAAACAGCTCACTTAAAACTCAACAACAACACTTCTATCACTTTGAAGAACTCGTTGTTCGTACCGAACTTAAGCACTAACCTCATCTCCTTTGCCCAACTCATCAAAGACAAAGCCGAAATCACAGCTGAAAATGATCGCCTCAAAATCGTCATCAACGGCAATCATGTCTTATGGGTCAACACCTCAAACAATCTCTTTGAGATTGAAGGCATCCAATCGGAATCAGCGCTCAACACCGTTTGCGCATCAACAACATCCGACTACATGAAATGGCATTACCGCCTAGGCCACGCTTGCAGTGCGAGACTCAGGACTGCGGTCGGCTCCAAAATCGTGACTAGCACGAGGGATCCCTGCAACACCTGCATTCAAGGCAAAATGACTCGCCTTCCATTCAAAGGGCACTTCAGCCCGACTCTCAACTCGTTGGACGTTGTGCACGGAGACCTGGTTGGACCGATAAGCCCCGCAACGAACAGTGGATCGAGATACTTCCTCACGATGGTTGATCAACACACCGGTTTCATCAACATCAGTCTTTTGAAGGAAAAGTCGGACGCTACCAACGCCATCATTGAATACAAGAAGTTCTTTGAAAAGCAGACTGGAAACTGTCTTAAGAAACTCATCACCGATGGCGGTGGGGAGTTCTGCAACAAGACTCTCGGCGACATCCTCGAGGAGGAGGGAATCCAACACAATGTGTCACCCCCCTACACCCCCCAACACAACGGAATTGCCGAAAGGGCCAATCGAACGATCATTGAAATGACCAGATGCCTTATGATCCAAGCGAACCTTGCGCCGGAATTCTGGGGCGAAGCGGTCTTGTCAGCAGCTGTGACAACCAACTGTTTGCCATCGCTCGCCAAAAGCAAGGCTTCCCCTTACTTTTTGATGCTCAAGCACCAACCCAATATCTCTTTCTTTCGACCTTTTGGTTGCCAGGCCTGGATTCTCAAGCCCAAAGTCAACAGAGAGACCAAGTTCGACCCCATCTCATGGGAGGGAACCCTCCTTGGATACTCCAACGACCTTTCAACCTACAGAATCTTCCGACATGAGGACAAGAAAGTGATATGCTCCCGACAAGTGACTTTCAATGAATCGATTTTTCCTCCCCATCAGGCCCTCAACAAAAGCTTTGTTGTCAGTCCATCAACTGAGCATTCACTCCCTGCCTTTCAGTTCGAGCCGGCTCTCCCCTTTGACGAAGACGCCATCGAAGACATCGGAGTTCAACAGGTCAATGAAGACCCCGACGACACACTACCTATCACCGACAATCATCCAGTAAGTCCAGAAACTGGAAAAAGATGGATGTACGTCGACAACTTTCAACCGTCTGAACCCATCAATAGTGGCATCGATGAAAGCAACATCATCTCCGGGAAGCGGACTCGGAATCGGGCATACTTCGTTGCCGTCTCCACGGAGCCCAGATCACACAACATGGCTATGAGGAGCCCTGATCACCTGAAATGGAAAGAGGCGGAGTTAAAGGAGATCAACAACATGAAGAAACACCACGTTTGGATCGAGCGACCTCGTCACCCCGCCGACTCTCCCATCGCTTCCACATGGGCGTACCGAAAGAAGCTTGGTCCTGATAACCAAGTCATTGAGTATAAAGCTCGAATCTGTGCCCAGGGTTTCCGTCAAACCTTTGGCGTCAACTTTGAGCTAAAATATGCACCGACTGGCAAGGCAGCCTCGCTTCGACTCCTCCTCTCCTATGCAGTGAATGAAGGACTCGAAATCCATCAGCTCGACGTACGAAGTGCTTTCCTCACGTGTCCCCTCGAGGACAAGGTCACACTCTTTCCGCCTCAAGGATATCCCTGTCAGGATGGCACGGTCTTCGAGCTACGCAGAGCCATCTATGGCTTGAAACAGGCATCCCTTGTCTGGTACAAACGACTCAGCGCGTTCCTTCAGACTATTGGCTTCACTGCCACCCTTTCCGATCCCTGCGTCTTTCACCGCTCTGCTCAAGGGAACAAGCCAGCGACTTGGATCTACTCTCATGTCGATGACCTGGTCATCATCAGCAAGGACCCCGCCTTCTTCAAAAATGAAATCGAGCAGGAATTCGACATCAAATACCTTGGAGCAGCCGAATTCCTTCTCGGCATGAACATCGACCGCACCCAAACTGGGCTCCACATTCACCAAACCCAGTACGTCGAGCGAAAACTCATTGAATACGGCCTCGACAAAGCTCCGATCTCTTCCTGTCCTCTGAACCCAAAAGGACATCTGAAGGCGTCCACGCCCGCGGAAATCGAAGAGCTCAAGCAGCATGGAGGCAACTACCGGGCCCTTGTTGGCTCGCTCAACTACCTCAGCGTCCTCACTCGCCCTGACATTTCCTACTCGGTCAGTGTGCTCTCCCAGCACCTCGAAAAACCAGGCATTCAGCACTTCAAAGCCGCCGAGCAAGTGTTCCGTTACCTATCGGGCACGAAACAGGTGGGGCTGGTGTTCAGGAAGGAGCTCGGTCTAGCAATCAGTGCCCATGTTGATTCAGACTGGGGCAACTGCCCAGACACCAGACGATCCGCTACGGGCTATGTTGTCCTCACCCACAAGCAGATCCTATCTTGGAAGGCCAGCCGGCAAGCAACCGTCTCACTCTCATCCACCGAGGCGGAATACAAGGCCTTATCCGACCTTGGCAGAGAGATCTCCTGGATTGCGAATCTCATCTCTGAACTCGACCTAGGATACCAACCCAGCAAGATACCCATCGGAGTTGACAACCAGGGGGCCATCGACCTCGCCAGAAGCGAGATGTCTCAAAACGGCTTCCGAACGAAACACATGGACATCCGCCTCCACTTCGTCAGGGAATTGATCACCAACAACCTCGTCGTCCTCAGATACATCCGAACCAACAGCAATTCAGCCGACTTTCTCACCAAGCCGACCGGACGATGCACCATCAGACGATCGCTCGCAGCCATCAGCGTACAACCTCCAACTTCCCCTGCTTCTCGCCAAACGGCTCGAAGCAACCCAGGCTGTCAGATTTCTACCCACGCCTCCGACTCCGCAAAGAGATGTCGGAAGGACAGTGTTTCATCTCAATCCATCCAATGTAAGCATCCACGTGATAAACCCCCTACAGGGGAACGTGAGAGCTTACCAAAACTGTCTTGTGTCTCACCCAAAACAGATGAAACGAATCGCAACGACGAAAAAAGAATCACCCAATCGGGACAGCTCAAAGAGAACCAGAACCACCTCGGGTCCATCAAGGACACCCACGGGCTAAGGTCGTGAGTATTTAAGAAGCACTTTCTGTCGGTCAAGCTGTTGTCTTTATCCCTCAGCTGACCAACAAACTTCGCACTTAAAA